CTCTGTCTTTTTTCTACAACCATTAATGGAGAACTTCATGGCTATTTTGATTTTAACATTGGTCTTCGACGCAGATCACCTTGGTCTGTTGGTTAGGAGCTTTGGTTATCAATTAAGAGGTCTTAAATTTGGAGTTTCATATATGAGACGTGTGCGTGAAATGATCTTAATTGGCCTAAATATTTCTAAGAAAAAAACATTGGTCTTCTACAAGAATGCCCCTCATCTGGTGTGGTATACTGTGGAAGAAGCGGTGCTAAAAGAGATAAAACAGAGAACTGATGGTAAAAGGCTTCAGCCTGTAAGTATATTGGAAAATCAACTATCATCCTCCTCACTCAAGAGGTGTTGCCTCTTGCAGAAAATAACAACTAGCAGCAAAAGCAAAAGAGTACTATCACCCTACAAATGGAAACTACGGTAGTGGAACCTGCAGCATATAACAGAAAGCATAAAACAACTAACAGGATAATTCTAGGTAATAAACTATAGGTAAATAAAGGCTTGGACGATGGATGGCTGTGATGCACCGCATCATCATCTCCCTAATTATTTGCTATATGATCAATGGATCGGATAGGCTCTCGTCTACCTTGACAAATATGTGCAATAATATAACTTATGCTTATATATCTTAAAATGGTGCGGTGATCTCTCATTTCCTTTTTTACTGATTTTTTACTAATTTTTGGTGAAGCTAACGAGCCCGCCATCAAAACTATGCTTGACATCTTAAACTTACTCAAAGAAAGAATGGTATTGATTATTGAATGTTCCTTTAGATAAATCTAATATTGTATTCGCCAAGCCAGATTATAGTGAAGCCTCCCTATTGACACTTTTTTGGCATATAATTGGAAAAAATTATCTTGACCTATCTTAGTATATCTCTAATGATCGACAAGCTAAAAATGCCAAATTATTAATCACCTTTTGATAATCTTAACTACTGGATTGTAGGTTGGAAACACAAATTAATCTCTCTTGATGCTTACAAATGACTAAAGCTTCGTTTGAGACGGCTTTCTAGTTGCTTCTTAAAGTAATTTTTTATACCAAAAAACTACTTTAAGAAGCAGTTAGAAAGCCATCCCAAACTAAGCCTAAATTTTCTTTTAAGATCTATTTTTCCTATTGTTTTAGATTTTCTATGCATAATGTCACCATTAAAAAGATTAATAGTCATTTTTATATTCCACTTGGATGATGGAGAATTTAAGAAAATTCAAAGTATTATATGGAATGATGCTGCTCAACATTTGGTTAATGGAAGCCTTGGCTTTTTTTTTTGTTTAATCTTGTTGAACTCAATTATATTTGCAAATTTATATGCATAAAGAAGTTCATCTCTTAATACTTCTCTTTTGTGAAATTGGTGGCTGAATTTTTATTAGTCTCTTCGTGCAATTATGGGGCTGTTTGGTTTGCTGAGCAGAGAATTAAGATTAAATAAATGCATTATAAAATGAAATTTGGGTGTGTGGCATGATGAAAAAAGAATGTAATGTAAAATTCTAATAATTTTTTTCACTCCCTAGTTCATTTTTGATGTATTTTAAACTTGTTCAGGTTTGGCTTAATTCCCTTTTCACTGTAAGCCAACTGTGTTGACATCACTCGCCACAACCTCCCGTAGTTGTCAGTCGACTACCTCCCACCACTGTCGGTCGTAGCCACCCGACCATTGGCCAGTTTCGCCAGCCACCTCCATCATTTAACTTTACATTACATTAGTTTTATCTCATGCAAAAAAATAAAAAAAATAAAATAAATAAAAAAAGTCTTCTACGTTCATTTTACACTCATCAAAATAACCTCAAACATTTCAAATACAATATATTCTTTTTACTATGCATTCTTTTTTCTGTAACTCAAATTGTCCCTAAAGCTCCTTGTTTTTCTCACTTTTGATGGAGTCATACAAATGTTAATTCTATTGTGAAAAATTATCTTTATTAGAAAGTTGAAAGTGGGGAAAGGTTCTCACTTTTTTTATCCATGGATAAAAAAGTACTTTTTGTGGGATTATTTGAGAGTGTATGCTTTCTCCATGTTTAAGTTTTCCCTTCAAGCCCTTATATGCTTTATTATCTCTAATGGCACATGGAACAACATCCCACATGATTTAATAAACATTCTTGTTTGCCTTAGAGCCATTTCTGATATATGTATTTATTAGAATTTTATTAATTTTGATTTTTCATTTTTCAATTTGTGCAAGAACATAAAGGCCAATTTGGTGCATGATTTATCAAATAGGGCATTTTTGTTAAGTTTCATTTGACAATTGAAATGTACCCAGTAAGATAGATAAGTATTAATATAATATTGTTGCAGGCAAGAATATACGTGGCAGTAGTGTGAGGATATTTTTCATCTTAGCATTACATGAATATCCATTACACAAACAGAAAAGATAAAACACCAAAGTTTTTAACGTGGAAACCCTAGAAAAGAAAAAAAAAACATGGGGCTTGGCCCAATTCAAATAATATCACTAGCGTTTCAATGAATTACAAGCTTTGATCCATCCTGTAATTCAAAAATGTTGAAATTACAATAGTAGAGAGTGTTAAGTGGAAATTCAACATCAGTCGGTGGTCGGGTAGAAGTCCAGCGTCAGTTCGTGGTCGGGCGAAAGTTTAACGCCGATTGGTGGCCGGGTGGAAGTTCGACGTCTATCGGTGGCCGGGCAGAAGTCCAGTGTCAGTCGTTGGCTGGGCGAAAGTCTATAATTGATTGGTGGTCGGGGGAAAGTCCGATGTCAATCGATGGCTGAGCGGAAGTCCTGGGTCGATCGGTGGTCGAAAGAAAGTTCACCGTCACTCGGTAGCTAGGTAGAAGTTCAACATCAGTTGGTGGCCAGGTGGAAATCTAGCGTTGATCGGTGGTCAGGCGGAAATTAGCCTTCGATTGTTGGCCGAGCAGAAGTTCGGTATCAGTCGGTGGCCAGTTCGAAGTTTGATGACAGTTGGTGGCCGGCGGTGGTCCAACGATGGTCCAGCGATGGCTAGTGGTCCGCTGGTGGCCGGGCAGTGGTCGAGGAGAAGCTTGGTGGCATGAGAGATATCAGATTTCTCTTCCTTCTTCCTCTTCCTTCTTCCTCTTCCTTTTCCTTCATTTTCTCAATTTTATGAAGAATGAGAGGTCTATTTATAATTTTTTTAGAGTAGCATGGCTAGTAAAATAGTGAGAAGATCAAGGGTAGGTTGGGTGTGTTTCAGATTGATGACCAATATTGATTCCCTTCATTATGAATCATTTATGGAGAATTTGAGTGTCTTAATAATGCCAGAATTCAATGATCTTGAACTTGTTGGATTCTTCTTGTCGAGTCGCTCGATTCAATTATAAGCATGTCACATTTGGAAATCATTTGGTCGTCCAACTTAAGCTTTGAAACTTTCAAATATACTTCAGACCCTCAATTTGGACTCATTTGAGCTCAGCTTTGATTGAATTTGGTGTTGTTGGATTCGTCTATTCGAGATGTTCAATTCAACTATAAAGTTGGCTAAAATAGGATTTCGGAAGGTCCCAAAATTAATTTTGAAAATTTTAAATTCAAATTTGCTTGAGATTCATTCCCGATCATGATTATTTTTTGATGATACATATAAATAATTAGTATAAATACTTAATTAGATGTAAAAGATAAATAGTTCCCAAGATTAATTGTTCAATCGTACAAAAATTTGTTTTTTTTTAATTGTTAATATTTGATTACTGAAAATTTTAATAGATATGCATAAAATTTATATTTTTACTGGGTTTTACACATATTTTAATATTTTCTATATATTTATATTAATTTCAAACAACTTTAATACCAAATATTTTTGAACAAAAAAAAAAAAAAAAGTTAGGTCTACAATTATCAATAGGATGCTTTAAATTATTATTGCCATATATTAAACTTTTAAAAATCAAACTTGTTGTGGGCTAGATTATACGCGACGATAGAGTTGTAATTTTACGTCTTAGTGTTACACAGATATCTAGCTTACACACAGAGAACACAAGATTTTTTACGCGGAAAACCCTGAATAGGAAAAAAACCACAAGACCTAGCCCAGTTGAAAAGATTTCACTGGAATTTGAGTTGAGTACAGTGAGCTGACTCGTCCTTGAGGGCGATCGGATTATAAATGTCAACTGTATGGTTGAAATATAGTGTTAAATCTGGCATCACTTGGAATTTGCGGCGTCAGTTAGTAGTCCGATAGTGATTTGGCAGAACTCTAACATCAGTTGATGGTATGGCGGAGTTTAGGGCCTCAAGTGGTGGCCTGGCGGAGTTCATGCCCTTAGGTGGTGGTCCAGCAAAGGTGAAGGCCTCAGGAGGTGGTCTGGCAAAGGTGAGGGCCTCAAGTGGTGGTCCGACAAAGGTGACGGCCTCAAGTGGTGGTGCGGCAATTGTGAGGGCCTCAGGTGATGGTCCGGCGAATGTGAGGGCCTCAAGTGGTGGTCTAGCGAAGGTGAGGGCCTCAGGAGGTGGTTCAGCAAAGGTGAGGGCCTCAAGAGGTGGTCCGGCGAAGGCGAGGGCCTCAAGCGGTGGTATGACGAAAGTCTATAGTTGATCGGTGGTGGGGGGAAGTCCGACGTCGATTGGTGGCCGAGCGGAAGTTCTGCATTGATCGGTGGCCGAAAGAAAGTTCAGCGTCACTTGGTGGCCAGACAGAAGTTCAACATTAGACTGTGGCCAGGTGGAAATCTGGCGTCGATCGATGGTCAAGTGGAAGTTAGCCGTCGATCGTTGGCCGAGCGGAAGTTCGACGTCAGTCGGTGGCCAGTCTGAATTTTTACATATATATTATATAAAATTGAAGTAATTATATATTTAATGTCTAAAATTTATTTTTATTTTATTTTATTTATTTAATATTTAAAATTATATATTTATTTGTGTAATATTTTAATATTTAAATGTGATAGAAAAATATTTAAATATATAAATAATAGCATGGTATATGCGTAAATTCTAAAACCTATTTTTATTTTTTTATTGCGCTGGTGCCGGTGTGGCGGTGTGGGTTAGGGCAAAGCGAGGCAGGGGTTACGCGGCCTTAACTGTTAACTGTAGCCTCCTAGTCAGCGGATTACCTGAGCGTGCCCCTGACGCCAATGGCGCTCCTCGCAATCCCTGCGAGGCGGAGTCTCCCCTGCGGCCACTTACTCCTTGTTGCTACCTGGGCGGTGGTTGTCCTATGTGTCGCAACTGAAAAGGCCTCGCCTTCCTGCCGTTTCTCTTCTCCGGCCTTTTCCGACGATCAGCACCATCATGCTCATCATGATCATGATCATCATCAT